TATCTTCTGTGTCTGTGTTAATTGGTTTCCCTTTTCTTTGTTGAAGAGGGTCTGTGCAATCCTTCTGCCTAGTCCGCCATCTTGCCCCGCCTCCAAGAGTTTGTTTTACATTCAATGTTACGTGTGCATTTAGTTTCACTCCCCATTTACCATGCCCAACCTAACCTAGTCTCTTCCTCTCCCTGCCCAGTAACCCTCCGCCCGTGCCCCTCATAGTTATGCACTCCTGTTTGTCTTGCATTTCTTCCGTGTGAATGTTGCCCCTCTGGTGCCCCATGGTTTATTGCTCCAAGGGATGTATTTCCATAGAGTATGTGGGTGCATCACCCTGGGTTGAGTGGTCTGCATGTACATCTTATTAACTATTGGGCTGAGAGCCAGCCCCTGGGAGTGAGTTTTATTCCAGGCCCAGAATGTATCCCTGGGCCGTAGTATTGGGGGTCTTACCAGACTCCATTTGACCAGTAATTCTGGTCATTATTGAGTTTTTGGATTTTGTTCCATGTTTTTCCTCCCATTCTATCGAGGATCTCCAGATTTGATCCTTTCCTGAGTGGTTGGCATTGGTAGCCGGGCACCATCTAGTTCTTTTGGTCTCGAGGGCCATTGTGTCCTAGGGCTGATTGTTTCCAAATGCCCTTGTTTCTTTTATGCACTCTTCTTTGCTTCCAACGCTAAGAGACCATTAGGTGCATCTTAGATGGCCGCTTGAAAGCTTTTAAGACCCCAGTCGCTACTCACCAATGTAGGATGAAGAACAAGACTTTTATGTATTTTGTTGTGCCAATTGAGTCTGATGTCCCCCAGTACTATGGTCCTTCTCTGGGAGAGGTGATTGACAGTTTGTCTCTGTCCGCAGCAACCTCACAGGATGAATTTACTCCAGTGAAATCATTTTTCTGCCGGATTCGGTAAGTATTGGAGTTCATAGCTGCCCAAGACAGTGCACTGTATTCTAATTTTACTTAGCGGTTATTTCTTTTTTGTTGTTGTTGTTTGTTTGTTTTCAATTAAGTTCATTTGCAGATACAGAAGATTAGACTGAGATCTTGCCACAAAAAATTTGTGTTTCGATTGAAGAGAAGTTACATATACTCAGAGGAAAATTAAATAATAAAGCAATAGGAGAAAAGAGTAAAAAGCTGATTGTTTAACTTAGGGGTGAGAATCACTGGGTGTTAAGGATGCTTTAAAATGACCATTGTTGTGACAATTCTGTTTTTGATTGCTTTTTGGTTTTCAGTTACAGTTTATTAACATTTTTATATTTATGAGAAGAATTTAAATAGTTCAGAAACAGTGAATGAGAAGAAAACGGACCAAAACTGTAACCGTTGTTGCTTTAGAGTAGCATTACTAGTGACTTTTTTCTCTCTTCTGAGATGACTGTAAATATATTAGTCTTACTTTGAAAGTAAAAAGAAAATATTTTCAGAGGACAATATGATTGTTATTAACTGTAGAGATATTTAGAGAAGAGAAAACTTCTTGTCCTGGCTTAGTCAGAGACACCATGGGATTTGTCAGAAGACTCTCTGGGCCTCTATGGGGATAAACCGGGTGATGAGCTTTGGGGTGAGCAGAGCATGCCTTCTGGGAATTCTCTGAGTGTGAGAAGGTGAGAGTGAGAAGGTGGCACTCCCTCTGTGCCAGGGCCCAGCTTGCTGGGCTGCAGTGTAGCCCCCGCTTTCTTCCTGGTGGACTGGAGCATACCTCTATTTGGCCGGTGCCTTTATGGAGTGCTGGACCCTGTGTAGGGCATATGCCAGTCAAGGGGGTTGTTGAAGCTGAGACTAACTTAGTTCTTTGAAAGAGAAAGTATAGGGTGGAGTGTTTGGGAGAGTGATCAGGGTCCGTGAGGGGAAAGGATTGATCCAGTTTCCAGTCTTGTGGCACTTGAGTCAGGTGAGAAGATAAGAGAGATGGTTCTGCCTGTCCTTCTTCTGTAAGTGGAAGCATCTTAGTGGTAGTTTAGGGCCTGGTGGTCAAGACAAAGGTGTGAATGACCTTCACACTCAAAATCATCAAAATAGAACCTATTCAATGCGCAGTAATCAAGGAATGATTGTCCTTGGGTTTTGGGGAACATTTAAAGCAATATATCCCTTCTATTGAAAACAAAGGAGCTCTGGTGGCATAGTGTCTGAGGCATTTGACTGCTAACCAGAAGGCTGGTGGGTCAAACCCATCAGCCTCTTCTTGGAAGGAAGGTTGGGCAATCTACTTCCGTAGTGATACTGCCTCAGAAACCCAAGGAGGGTTCGCTGTGAGTCAGATCTGACTCAACAGCAGTGAGTTTATTTATTTATTTATTTATTTATTTATTTTAAACAAAAGTGCTTAACTATTTTAGATTTGGATAGGTCTCTCTTGGAAATTACCAATAAAACATTTTCCCAGCCTTACTTTACACTGGGCCCAATGAGTGCCTTGGGACCAGTCCTAATTGTTTAATTTCTTCAGTGGTGGTAAAGGCAGAAAACAAGAAAAGAACTACTGCCCATTCCGGATCATCCCCTATTTGATTCACGTGCACAGTCCCATCCAGCCAGGAGCTGAGCCCAGCTGTCTAATGCTGGTTGAGAAGATTCGCTCTGGTTATGAAGGTGAGTCAGGAGTCTGCTTTCTGATAAAGATGTAGAAGTGCCAGCACAGCAGACAGGAACCTGAGAGAGCCTGTTCGGGTGTCATCACAGAACCAGAAGACTGCATGAGCCTTCACATTGTCCCCTGAATGCCTTGTTGTTCTTGTTATGTGCCATCGAGTTGGACCCGACTCATAGCGACCCCTCCTTGGATTTCCGAGGAGGTATCACTACAGAAGTAGATTGCCAACCTTCCTTCCGAGGAGTGGCTGGTGCCTTAGGGATTGTAGTTTATTCTTATTTTTAATTGTCTTTTGGTGAAAGTTTACAGAGCAAATTTGTTTCCCAATTGACAATTTGTATATAAATGTTTCATGACATTGGATTCACTGTAAGCTGTCAGCAGTCTCCACATTTCCGCCCTAGGTTCCTTGTTTCCTTTGTCTGAATTTTCTACCCTTTCCTGCCTTCTTATCTTTGCTTTTGGGAAAATGTTGTCCTTTTAATCATGTATAATTGATTGTTCTAAGGAACATGTTCCTCTTGGGTGTTATAGTTTATTTTGGGGGCCTGTCTATTGTTTGGCTAAAAGGTGGTCTTTGGGAATGCCTTCAGTTCCAGGTGAGAAAGGGTGTCTTAGGGCCATAGTCTTGGGTTCCTCTAGTCTCTGTCAGACCAGTAAATCTGATCATTTTTGTGAATTTTATTTTTTGTTCTACATTGTTCTGTCTGGGACTCTCTATTGTGATATCCAATCAGAGTGGCTAGTTATTGGTAGCTGGGCACCATCTAGTTCTTCTGGTCTCGAGATCGTGTAGGCTGTGGTTTGTGTGGTCCGTTCGTCCTTTGGATTAATTGCTCCCTTGAGTCTTTGGTTTTCCTCACTCTCCTCTGGTCAGACAGGAAGAGACCAATAGTTGTATCTTAGATGGTCGCTAATAAGCTTTTAAGATCCCAGGCGCTACTCACCAAAGACAGTAGAGAACATTATCTTCATAGACTGTGTTGTGCCAGTTGATGTAGATGTTCTCCAAATCTATGGTCCTTCACCTTTGGACTCAGGAACTTCATCCTGTAAGGTTTTTGGTTATTTCTGAGAAGGTTCCATTGACTGTCCCCCTTGTGTGCTCTGTTGTCCATATTAATATACATGTAGCCTCTACAGTTATGTTTGTGGAAATACCCACAACCAAACCTATTACAGGTTGGTGTGCTCTCTCATACCCTCCCATGTTTCTTTAGCATACCTATCTACCTATGTGTCTATTCTTAAATTACTGTTTGTTAATACTATTATTGCTGGATTGTCTATGTTACAGTAATTACTGTATTTGTCCTTTATTCTGGAGTTCTTCTCAGTGTCTTCCTGAATGCTCTAGGCATTTTTAACTAATTTTTACCATGTTGAGCTACTAACTGAGTGGTTGGAGGGTCAAATCCATCCTGAGGTACCTGAGAAGAAAGGCCTGCCAATCTACTTCTGAAAAATCATCTATTGAAAGCCCTGTGGAGCACAGTTCTACTCTGACATACATGGGGTTACTATGAGTTGGGGTTAACTCAACAGCAACTGGTAATTCTGTTTACTGATCTTGACTTTCTGGGCAGTCAACAGTCATCTCCTTTAAGGACGGCCTGGCCTAATGGTCTGAGCGTGGGACGTGGTAACAGATAGGCATTCCTCTAACTCGTTCTTTCTTGATGACCTGTTGTGTGGCCTTTTGCTTGTGGCTTATTTGAAATAATAGTATTGAAAGTGTTTCATGGAGAGGTCACAAGAGTGAATTAATGTTTTTAAAGTGTGTTGAACCCTTCTGAGTAAAAAGTATAGTTCATCTATTCTAATGGCAGAACTACATTTCTAAATTCTTATATTAATACATAGCAGCTTGCATTCATGATTTGAAATTATAGTCAGTAATTTCAGACACATATGCTTTCCTAAAATTACCACCCCATGCAGAAATCACACAATAAAAACCACAGGGCTTATGGAACAGATGTGTTTAGGGGCACAGCACTCAATGTGTCAGTGACACAATGGAAAAAAAAATGAGGTAGGTTCAACAATTAACTTTAAAACAAAGATGAGAATGTCAGGGGGCAAGGAAACTAAGATTGATGGAACCAGAACAACTAGAATGGAAATGATGAGACTGTTGATACACTATGAAGAAGGTAACCAAGGTCACTGGATAACTGGAATAGAAATTGTTGAATGGGAACCTGAACTGCTATCTAAACCTTCACCAAAAACAGTAAAATGTTATTTAAAAAATAAATACAAAAAAAAAAAAGATAGAAATCTAATAAAAGTGATAACACAGTTTTATATACATTAAATGCTTAAGAAATAATAAAAACTACAATAAATGTGTTACTCTACCTTTAAAAAGACGTGAAGTGTGTTTGTGGAAGTGGGTGCTGGGAGGGTTGGAGCTTGTGAGTTATTGTGAGTGGTGGCAGGAGGTTATCTGAAATCAGGTGGAAAGTTCTAACCCCAGATGCAGATAGGTGGGGCTCATAGCACATGTGGTGGGGCTGAGGTAGAGGGTAGATGTTTGAAGCTTGTGTATGTGTGTGTTTTGCATATTCCTAAGCAGTTCTGTGTGGATGCTACTTTCTGCCTGCACCTAGTGTTTCTTGCAGTTGTGCATAAGCACACACAAAATACATATTAGCATCAGCTTATTCCCTAGTATGTCAGTCACTTTGGAGCATATTTGCATTTTTAAAACAAGCATTATAGCAGTGTGACTTGTATCAGTTTTATTACACAAATAAAAAATTTCCATAGAGTAGTAAGTGATGTCTCAGACCCTTTTGTGTGTTTAGTTATGGACAACCAGTAAATGTGACTAACCTCATAGTCTTGGACTTTAATTTACTTCAGCTTTGACTTTAATTGTGATGAGAAGACTAGCTACTCTGTGTGCAAGACTTTTTTCTCTGTTAAAAATTCAAACGTAATAATGAAAATTGTCAATTCTAGTTTGGCTGCTCTAAAGCCAGTCTTGTAACTGAAATTTCTACTATTTAAGATAGAGATTTTGTTTGCCTTTTTATGTGTTGTGGTTACCTTTAAATGGGTTTGTGTTTTTTTAGCTCCTCGAATCCCAGTGGATAAAAGAATTTTTACCACAACACATACCCCAGGGTGTGTTTTTCTTGAAGTAGATGAAAGGTAAGACTTCTTTAAGTCTAAAAGAAGTTTGTTCCTGGAAATAAGTAAAAAAATATGAAGAAGCTTATATCATGTTTACATACCTCTATAGGAGCTTTGGTGATGTAGAGGAGCTCTGGTAGCATAATACCTAAGGCATTTGACTGCAATCAGAAGGCTGGCGGTTCAAACCCACCAGCCACTCCTCAAAATGAAGGTTGGGCAATCTACTTCCATTGTGATACTGCCTCGGAAAGCCAAGGAGGGGTTGCTAAGAGTCAGATCCGACTCCACAGCAGTGGTTGCGTTATAGTATATAGAGGAGCCTTGTTGGCACAATGGTTAAAGCAATTGGCTGTTAATCAAAAGGTTGGCAGTTCAAACCCACCAGCCACTCTGCAGGAGAAACATGAGGCATTCTGCTCCCATAAAGATTACAGCTTTGGAAACCCTGGAGGGCCGTTCTATTCTGTCTGGTTGCTATGAGTTGAAATCCACTCAGTGGCAGTGGGTTTGGTTTGGTTTTATAGTACAGGTGTATATGCGTCATTTAATGTCCATTTTATGTTCATGGCCCCATAAAGATTTTTTTTTTTAAGGGGAAAGTAGCTCTCCTTTTGTTTATTGTTTCCCCCTAATGCTTTTAAAGACCCCAAACCCACACTCTTTCAGCACTGGACCATGGGTTGGAGGCAGGCAATACAGAGGACATGGCTCTGAGTGGAAGGCTCTCAGGCTTTGTCAGGCAGGACTGCCTCTGCTCTCAGCCACATGGAACAGTGGGCAGGGCAGGGGGCACTCTGTTCCCTCCTCGCTTGCTGCTTGCTTCCTCTCGCTCCACTCCTATCACTGTCCTCTCAGCTGCCCCTGCTACCAGCACCCTTTCCACTGACCTGCTGAAGCAGCAGCAGCAGCAGTGGAGGCAGCGGCAACAAGGACAACTGGAAGCAATCTCCTATGTTTGTACAACATTCAAATCACGTAACGTCCTATACGTAACATATATTGTGGACATTAAGCAACACATATCTGTATATAGCTGACATCTGTCCATTTCCTATTTGGTTTTTGTTAATGACATTGAAATTTGTGTTGTATAAATTTTGCACGTACAGGAAATATTTTGCATATTCACGTTATGCTGTTAAGAATAATTTACAATTTCTCTTAGTTGATTTCACAGCAGTCTGTTGGGGGTTATTCCTTTTTGCAGAAGAAGGCAAGCAATTTGGTCCGATTTGCTGAGTTCACATGTCACTGCCATTGAGTTGTTTCTGACCCATAGTGACCTCCATTGGGTTTCCAAGGCAGTAAATCTTCAGGAAGTAGTTGCCCCATCATCCTTCTGTGGAGCAGGTGGTAGCTTTGAACCGCCAACCTTCTGGTTAGCAGTCAGATGCCTTAGGCACTGTATCACTAGAGCTCCTTTATGTAATTTACCTCAGACTGGGGCAGAGACATTGGTCTTCTGTCTCCTACTCCAGTGTCATTTGCACTAAATCAGTAGTTCCCAAACTGGTGTATGAGGAAATCTTTATCATTATGAAATGAGGGGTGGAGGGGAAGCAAAAAAGGAAGAAAAAAGAAAAATAAGGGCAGATTTTTTCGTAAAGCTAAATTTATTTAATATAAAGGATTGTTCTTTCATTTGAACTTAAATACTTCCTAATTTTTTCCTGATGTTACAGTAGTCTTTCTTATTTAAAACAATGTAGTGAGATTGAATAGTAGTTGTTGTTTATTTTTGTCCTTTTATTATCTTTATTTGGGAAAATAAAACATTGGTATCACCACATCAGTGCCTCTAGTTTTTCTCTACATTGATGTTAAAATTTTACTTATTGATGAAATCTAAAAATCTGGGGGCCAGTATAACATCTGAAAATGGGTTTGTTTATTTAATAGCAGTTACCCTGAAACTAAGCAGCAACTCTTGAGACACTTTGTATACTGTAATCGTACTTTCAGCTAAATACAACCCTGAAGATTTCTTTAATTTATTATTTTAGAAAGTACAGTGGATTTTAATGCATGGAACATTTTTGTGGAGTCAGTTTTTTCTAAGTATTTTTAGTATCTTTTTTTTCTAGGTTTCCTATGAACTTTTATCCTGAAAATATTGTTGGGTACTAGTTGTCCATCTATTTGATACTTGTTGGGGGATACTCTTTTGTTTTTATCCTTTTAATCACACTGTATAAATTTGTAGCCTGTGTTACTCATTCAGCAGCATAAGAATTTTTCTGTGTTGTGGTGTGATCTTTGTAGACTTTTGAAATAGACAGTGGTTTCAAATTTGGCAGGGTGTCAGAGTCCTCTGAAGTTGTTGAAAATGCAGATTCCCACCTCTCCTCCCAGAGGTTCTGAATTTAGTAAGACTGTGAATCTGTTTTTTAGCAAATTCTCTAGATGATTTTGATGCTACATGCCAGGAGACCACCATTTTCCCACGTAGAGGCACTTAAGTAGTTTGCAGTTTTTTTTGCTTTTATAAACACTGTAATGTACATCTTTTGTATAAAGATTTTTTTATTTGGAATTAGTAAAAAAAAAAAAAAAGTATTAAAGTATATGTTTCAAAAAGTACATGATGAGTCTAACATGCTTCCACTAGTAAGAAGGCCCTAAAGAGATCTCTTGCATCTTTGATTTGTGATGATACATTGTGTCTCTGTATCCCAGAGCCGTGCCTTTGCTGGGTTACCTACCTCAGGATCTGATTGGAACATCTATCTTAACATATTTGCACCCAGAAGATCGCTCCCTGATGGTTGCGATTCACCAAAAAGGTAAGGACTTACTCCTTTATTGGCAAAAACCTTTTTATCATTGGTCTGTTCTGATTTTCCATTTAATTTCTCATGATACTAATCATTAGAGCATCACCTTTAACCAGGTAAGCAATGTATTGAAACTGCCAAAACAATTTTTTTTTTTCAGTTTTGAGATACTAAAAAAAAAAAAAATCAATTTCTTTGTTAAATAAGTTCTGCTTTTGTCTTGTTATTTTATGTAGTCTTGAAGTATGCTGGCCAGCCTCCCTTTGAGCATTCACCTGTTAGATTTTGTACTCAGAATGGAGATTATGTTGTACTGGATTCCAGCTGGTCCAGCTTTGTGAACCCATGGAGCCGAAAGGTTTCTTTCATACTTGGTCGGCATAAAGTTCGAACGTAAGTCAATCAGTATTCAGATTTTCTAAAAATTCCTTTTTACCAAATAATATTTCTTAACCCATTGGCTCCCCTTTGAGTCAGTTGGTATATAAATAAAATACAGTTTTTCTCAGTGCTTTTGGAAGATTTGGCAGTGTGTATGTATTAAGAATCTTAAATATGAAAAGCATTGTTAAAAAAAGACATGCTTTGCAACATTATTTAATCATAACTACAGATTTAAAATAGATTAAGTGTCCATCTTAACCATCTTTAAGTAAACTCTGGAGTATTTTTTAACATATGATTATATTGGCCAATAAAAATTTTCACAGGGATTATATAAATGGGAAAATGTTTGATACATTTAATATAAAAAGAAACACAAAATTACTTATACCCTCTGATTATAATTATGTTTAAAATACACATTCAGTCACAAACTATGGCATAGAAGGAAAAAGATTAGAAGGAAATAAATCAATATAAATTTGAATTATATATAAATCATGGGACGATGGAGGAATTTTTTTTCTACCTTTTGTGTATTAAAATTCTCTTTAGTGAGCATGTAGAACTTTTTTATCAGGCTTCTTTTGTCAAATGCCCCTTATATATGTCTATTTTATTAAATGCTGGTTTTTAAAATTAGATTCTTTAAGATCTCTTCCCCTGCGGCATGGCTATTTGAGTGCTGTTGCCTGTCTGTAGAGCAGAATCATGTGAATTGGATGTGAACAACCTAGCTCACCACTCTTGTAGCCTAAAATACTCCTGTTGTTGTTGTTGTTATATGCCGTCGAGTCGGACCCGACTCATAGCGACCCCTCCTTGGGTTTCCGAGGTGGTATCACTACAGAAGTAGATTGCCCAACCTTCCTTCCAAGGAGTGCCTGGTGGGTTTGAACCTCCAGCTTTCTGGTTAGCGGTCAAGTGCCTTAGGCACTATGCTACCAGAGCTCCTAAAATACTCCTAGTCAATTCAATACCTTGTAATTTTGGTCCACTCTGAATCTGTAAATTTTAGACCTGGCCATAAGTTTTCTTATGGTGTTCTTAAATCTTCAGTATCATGTTGAGATTGAGAAACTATTTGTATTTTGTTATTGCAGTGTTGTCCACCACTCGTCTGTCAGTTTGTCATACTATGGTGGCTTGCGTGTTGCTGTGAGGCTGGAGGCTATGCCACTGGTATTTCAAATGCCAGCAGGGTCACCCATGGTGGACAGGTTTCAATGGAGCTCCCAGACTAAGACAGACTCTGAAGAAGGAAGGGGCCATCCACTTCTCAGAGAATTCGCCAGTGAAAACCTTATGAATAGCAATGAAACACTGTCTGATATATTACTTTATGGATAGCTCTGAAACATTGTCTTATATAGTGCCAGAAGATGAGGCCCTTAGGTTGGAAGGCACTCAAAGTATGACTGGGCAAGAGCCACCTCCTCAGAGTAGAGTTGATCTTAATGAAATGGATGGAGTAAAGTTTTGGGGACCTCCATTTGCTGACGGTTATGACTCAAAATGGGAAGGAACAACTGCAAACATCCATTAAGATCAGAACATGAAATGTATGAAATACGAATCTAGGAAAATTGAAAGTTGTCAAAAATGAGATGGAACACATAAAGATTGATATCCTAGGCATTAGTGAACTGAAATGGACTGGTTTGGGCCATTTATAATCAGACAATCATATGATCTACTATGCCAGGAATGACAAATTGAGAAACAGTGGCATGGCATTCTCTATCATGAAGAATGTTTGAAGATCTGACCTGAAGTACAGTGCTGTCACTGATAGGATAATATCCATGCACCTACCAGGAAGACTAGTTAATACTACTATTATTCAAATTTATGCACCAGCCACTAAAGCTAAAGATGAGGAAATTGAAGATTTTTATGAACTTCTGCAATCTGAAATTGAACAAGCATGCAATCATGATGTATTGATTATTACTGATGATTGGAGTGCAAAAGTTGGAAACAAAGAAGAATCACCGATAGTTGGAAAATATGGCCTTGGTGATAGAAATGATGCTGGAGATCGATCGCATGATAGAATTTTTTTTAAGACTTACTCATTGCAAACACCTTTTTCAACAACCTAAACAGCAGCTATACATATGGACCTCACTAGATGGAGTACACAGGAACCATATCAACTACATCTGTGGAAAGAGGCAATGGAGAAGCTCAATATCTTCAGCCAAAACAAGGCTAGGAGCTGACTGTGGAATGGACCATCAACTGCTCATATGCAAGTTCAACTTGAAGTTGAAGACAATGAAAACAAGTCCATGAGAGCCAAAATAAGACCTTGAGCATATCCCTCCTGAATTTGGAGACCATCTAAAGAATAGATTTGACACATTGAACACCAGTGACTGAAAATCAGAGGAATTGTGAGATGACATCAAGAACATCATCTATAAAGAAAGCAAAAGGTCACTAAAAAGACAGGAAAGAAAGAAAAGACCAAAATGCATGTCAGAAGAGACTCTGAAACTTGCCCTTGAATGGAGAGTGGCTAAAGCAAATGGAAGAAATAACAACATAAAAGAGCTGAAGAGAAAATTTCAAAGAGCAGCTCAAGAAGACAAAGTCAGTTATTATAATGAGATGTGAAAAGACCTGGAGTTAGAAAACCAAAAGGGAAGAACTGCTCAGCATTTCTCAAGCTGAAAGACCTAAAGAAGAAATTCAAGCCTCCAGTTGCAATATTGAAAGATTCTATGGGAAAAATATTGAATGATGCAGGAAGCATCAAAAGAAGATATAATACTCAGAATCACTGTACAAAAAAGAATTGGTCGATGTTCATCCATTTCAGGAGATGGTGTATGATCAAGAACCAATGGTATTAAGGGAGAAGTTGCTGCACTGAAGGAGTTGGTGAAGAACAAGCCTCCAGGAATCGACAGAATACCCATTGAGATGTTTTAACAAACAGATGCTGTGCTGGAGGTGCTCACTTAGCTATGCCAAGAAATTTGGAAGATAGCTACCTGGCCAACTGACAGGAAGAGATCCATATTTGTACCCATTCCAAAAAAGGTGATCTCACAGAATGTGGAAATTATCAAACAATATCATTAATATCACATGTAAGTAAAATTTTGCTGAAGATGATTCAAAAACGGTTGCAGCAGTATATTGTCAGAGAACTTCCAGAAATGCAGGCTAGATTCAGAAGAGGATGTGGTATGAGGGATATCATTGCTGATGTCAGATGGATCTTAGCTGAAAGCAAAGAATACCGGAAAGATGTTTACTTGTATTTTTCTGACTATGCAAAAGCATTTGATTGATCATAACAAATTATGGATAACATTGGGAAGAATGGGAATTCCAAAACACTTAATTGTGCTCATGAGGAACCTTACATAGACCAGAAATCTGTCGTTCGAACAGAACAAGAGGATACTGTAAGGTTTAATATCAAGAAGTGTGTGCATCAGGTTTGTGTCCTTTCACCATACTTACTCACTTTGTATGCTGAACACGTAGTCCAGAAAACTGGACTGTATGAAGAACATGGCATCAGGATTAGAGGAAGACTCATTAACAACCTGCAGTATGCAAATAACACAGCCTTCCTTGCTGAAAGTGAAGATGGCTTGAAGCACTTACAGATGAAGATTAAAGACTACAGTTTACAATATGGATTACACTTCAGCGTAAAGAAAACAAAAATCCTCACAACTGGACCAATAAGCAGCATCATGATAAGTGAAGAATAGATTGAAGTTTTCAGAGATTTCATATTACTTAGATCCATAGTCAATATCAGTGAAAGGAAGCAGCAGTTAAGAAATCAGACAAAATATTGCCCTGGGCAAATCTGCTGCAAAAGACCTCTTTAAAGTGCTGCAAAACAAAGATGTCTCTTTGAAGACTAAGGTACGCCTAACCCAAGCCATGGCATTTTCAGTCACCTCATATTCATGTGAAAGCTGGACAGTGAGTAAGGAAGACCCAAGAAGAGTCAGTGCTTTTAAGTTGTGGTGTTGGTAAAGAATACTGAAAGTACCATGGACTGCCAGAAGAACAAACAAATCTGCCCTGGAAGAAGTGCAGCCAGAATGTTCCTCGGAAGTGAGAATGGCAAGACTTCTTCATCTCACCTGCTTTGGTCATGTTGTCAGAAGGGACCAGTCCTTGGAGAAGGATATCATGCTTGGTAAAATAGAGGGTCAGCAAAAAAGGGAAGACCCTCAACGAGGTGGATTGACACAGTGGGTACAACAGTGGGCTCAGGTCTAGCAAGGACTGTGAGGCTGGCGCAGGGCTGGGCAGTATTTTGTTTTGCTGTACGTAGGGTCAGTATGGGTCAGAGCTGACTCGATACCATCTAGATACAACAACGACGACATGCAATGTTGTGTACATAAATATCAAACTAAGACAACTGCTCTACCAGTATTGTTACTGTTGGGTACCATTGAATCAATTCTGAGTCACAGCAGCCCCACATGACAGAGTTGAACTGCCATAGGGTTTTCTAGGTTATAATCTTTATAGGAGCAGATCACCAGGTGTTTTGTTTCTCCCACAAAGCCACTACTGGGTGAGTTAGAAATGCCAACCTTTTGGTTAGTAGCTGCGTGCTTAACCATTGTGCTACAGAGTCTACCAGTAGGACATATTTTATCATACATCATTTTATTACAATGGAAACAGTGTATGTCCATTGTAAGCACAGGTCCCTCACCTCTGTAACTCCAGGGTTTGGCCTCTCAGCAGAGCAGGTCTGGACCCTTATGAAAGAAATGGGCTGCATGCTACCCTAACTCATGAGACTGGTTTGTGTTGGAAAACTAATAATTAAGAAATACGATATTTTTTTCCCTCCAATAAGGAAATGAAAGTAAAACCAGATGGTTTCTTAGTGAGAATATAGGATCACCCAGGGCAGGCAAGATTCTCCACAGGACATCCATGTGGGTGTTTGTTGAGTAGCCTACGCGCCTCCCACAGTCAGTGTTGGAGATGTGTTCCAGATGGTCCTTTCACTTCTCTGACTAAATATATATGAAATTACTTGACATATAATGAATACTCAGAATTTTCCCAGTATTTTAAAAATTACACAAATATTTATATCTCAAGTCCCTGGATTATGTGAGGGAAAGAGCCTAGAGTCTAGTGGATTCTTGCTCATAAAACAATAATTGTCCATCATATTTGTAAAATCGTTTTAATGCATTTATCCCTTCAAATAAGTATTTATGAATTGCCTACTCTGTGTCAGGCATGGTGTGAGACATTGGGAATGAGAAGGTAAAATAGGTCACCTCTTCACTCTCTTGGAACCCACAGTGTAGTGGAGAGAGGCAGCAAAAATAAATGGCACTGGTGTATCAGCTGGAGTTTTGGGAAGTATGACAACTGTGAAATGAGAAAAGACTAGGAGCATGCCTAGCAAGGGATCATACCACATGATATCTTTGGATCTTTCCCAACAACTCTGTAGGTGGGTTAGGTACTATTGTCTCTCATCTTACAGAGAAAATCCATACTCGGTGAAACAAGGTAACTTGGCTAGAGATCTCTTGGAGTGGAGGCTAGAATCAGGCTTGCTTTCTTAGTCCTAGTCCTGTTCCCTTTACATACAAAGCTGCTCTAATGCTTCACAGCATGTTCGCCACTGTTTGATGAAGGCTGTTTTCCAATCACATGCAAATTAAGCAGTTGGGGTTCTATAAACCATTGCTGTTGACTCCTACTCGTGCTGACCACATGTGTGTCACAGTAGAACTGTGTTCATAGGATTTCCAGTGGCTGATTTTTCCAAAGTAGATCGCCAGGCCATTCTTCTGAGGAGCCACTGGGTGGCTTTGAACCTGCAGCCTTTTGTTCAGCAGCCAAGTTCATTAACTGCTCCACCTGGGGACTTCTTGAGTTCCATAGTTACTAATTGAAAATGCAACTTAGTTTTGTAGGCAGTTTCACAATGAGGAATATATAAATCTTACACAAAAGCAATTCATTCTCTTTCCATTTCAGAATTTCACTTGAGAAACAAAATACAAACACCTCAGGAAGATAGTCAAACTCATAGTGCACAGGGTGTTTTTATAGTATTAGTCAGGGGTATTTTTTCCCCCAGGTTGGTCATGGATTTCTATGCTCATTCTTTTAACGAAAACCATCTAGTGGGTGCCTGCTAGTGTACCAGGTTCTGGAGAATCAGAAGGAAACCAAATTGACACCAGGGCTGCCCCTGTGAGGCTTATGTGGTAGTGGAGGATGGGAAAGAACAGAGAGTAAGCAAAGCAGTTAAGTTAAATATACAGTGTGTTAGATTGTGAAATAAGGTGGGACCAGCGGTGGTTTAGTGGTAGGATCCTCGTCTCCCACACAGGGGCCTGGATTCAGTTCCACCTCATGCACAGCCCCCACCCATCTGTCAATGGAGGCTGTGTGCTGCTGGGATGCTGGACAGACTTCAGGAGAGCTCCAGACTCAGACTAGGAAGAAAGGCCTGGCAACCTTCTGAAAATCAGCCAAGGAAAACTCTACAGATCATAAAGGTCCAGTCTGAAATTGATCATGAGAATGGTACAGGACTGGCAGCATCTCATCGTGTTGTGTGTGCGGTCACCATGAGCTGGGGCTCAACTGGACAGCAGCTAACAAAACAACATCCTATGAGACAATAATTTCTGTCTTTAGGAAGATGTTTCAGTTTTTAGAGAACTGAAACGTGTGTGTCTAAGTTGTGAGAAATGACAGGATGGCATAGCAGACGCAAGCAAGCACTGGCTTTGGAGTCAGAAATAAGTAGGTTCAAATCCTGACTGCTGCTTTTCTGTTAAAGTAAACTTGAACAAGCTCGTTTACCTCTCTCATCCTCTGACTTGTCACCTGTAAATCAGAGGTAATTTGTACGGCCTAGGGTTGTTGAAAGGGTTATATGAGATGATGGTGCTGATTCACTGTGCTCTGTTAATACTAGTATACCAGTTGGCATTGAGTTGACTGACTCATGGTAACCCCATCTGTGTCACAGTAGAACTGTGGTCCACGGGGTTTTCAGTGGCTGTTTTTTTGGAAGCAGATCACCAGGCCTTTTTTCCAGGACACCTCTGGGTAGGCTTGAACCACCAACCTTTAAGTTAGCAACTGAGAGCGGTAACCATTTGCATTACCCAGGGACTTCACCTCATTAATGGACCTGCTTTGTTGAGGTGCTATAATGCAGGAAAGCCTGATGGTATGAAGTGTGGGCTCTGAACCTGGATGTCTGGGGCTTCTTCATGCCTGGTTTTGCTAGCTATGAGTTCCTGAGCAAGTTTTTAACTCAACTAAATGAGGTAATACTTGTATTTGGAAAGTGCCTGGCATATGGTAAGGGTTTAGAACATGCTAGTTGTTACTGTATATTATAAAACAAACTAATACAGTTTCTGTGACACAGAAGGTCCTAAGTGGATGTTGGTTTCTTCTTTCTTTCCTTTTTGTGGGCTCATCTGCCATTCACTGTTATCAGACCAAATTGGTTGCTGTTGAGTCAGTTCCAGCTCATGGCAGCCCTGTGTGTGTGTGTGTGTGTGTGTGTGTGTGTGTGTGTGTCTGAGAGAGAGAGAGAGTAGAAGTGTGCCCCACAGGTTTTCAATGACTGAATTTTGGGAAGTAGATCACCAGGCCTTTCTCCTGAGAAGCCTGTAGGTAGACTTAACTCCCAACCTTTCTGTACCACAAGTGAAACTGGTAGATTTAAAATACTGTAGAATTTGAGTCTATATAAGACTGAAGCTATTGGAACAGCCACATTTTCACCATTGATGTGGGTTACAGAATCTTCTTTATTAGATAGTTTAAAGAAATGACTAGGTTCATTAAACACTGAGTGTTGTTGATAAACTTAGGATCTTAACATTTCTACAGTAGGTTATTCAGTTAATGTTCAGTTTTGAGACCAACAACTGTTGAAGATATTTTAGCAGCTAAGCAGGTATTAGTCACTGATTTTTTATTTTTTATTTTTGCAATGTTCCTTCCCCTCCCCTCCCAACTCTGGTAACCAACACAGAAAGTTCCCTTCGATATGTACCTTTCCTTGGCTTTTTACAATAATGAACTAGTACATTATTTGTCCTTCTGTGATTGACTTATTTCACTCACCGTAATGTCCTCTAAGTTCCATGTTATGTGGTGTTTTGCAGGTTCTACATTATTCTTTAGTGTTACATAGTATTCCATTGTGTGTATGTATCATAGTTTGGTTATCCATTCTTCTGTTGATGGGCACCTAAGTTATTTCCATTTTTTTGCTACTGTAAATAGTGCTACGATGAACATGGGTGTACACATAGCTGCTGTTGTCCTGGCTCTCACTTCTTTAGGATCTATACCCAGTAATGGGATTGTTGGATCAAATGGTACTTCTAATTCCAACTTTTTAAGGAGTCGCCATACTGCTTTCCACAGTGGTTGTATCATTTGCCAGTGCCACCAGCAGTAATGTTTACAGAAGGAGCCCTGATGGCTCAGTGGATAAGCACTCAGCTGGTAACTGAAGGGTTGGTAATTCAAACCTACTAGCTGCTCTGCAGGAGAAAGATGTGGTAGTCTGCTTCTGTGAAGATTACAGCCTTGGAAAACTTATGGGACAGTTCTATTCTGTCCTGTAGGGTTAGTATTTTTTGGTAGGTTAATTTTTACAGGAGCAGATTGCTAGGTCTTTTTTCCCACGGAGCTGCTGATGGGTTTGAACTGCTGACCTTTCAGTTAGCAGCCACGTATTTAACCATTGCACCACCAGGACTCCTTAGAAAGGCTATAATTGTAGAGAAACTAAACCAAAACCTGTTGCCATCAAGTCAATTCTGACTCATAACAATCCTGTCAGACAGAGGAAAACTACCCCATAGGGTTTCCAAGGCTTCAAATCTTTATGGAAGCAGAATGCCACATCTTTCTTCCATGGAGTGGCTTGTGGATTTGAACTGTCAACCTTTTGGTTAGCAGCCGAATGCTTAACCATTGCGCCACCTAAAGAAACCTGTTTGTATCTCATTTGTTTCTTAATATTTTTTATACTTCTGTGAATAAAATTTTATCTTCTTATTTTCTATGGTTGGAGTTCTAAGAGGTACTTTATAAGAGCATCAGCTTATTCTTTGAATATGCTGTTAAGAATCAGTTTAGACTTCATGTGAATGAGTTTAAATTGCTTGAATCTTTCACTTGGCATTTTGTAGGAGTCCACTAAATGAGGATGTTTTTGCTACCAGAATAAAAAAGATGAACAATAATGACAAAGACATCACAGAATTGCAAGAACAAATTCAGAAACTTCTCTTGCAGGTAAAGTGAGAGAGTTTAAAAAACACAGAAACCTCATAATCATGTTTTATTTTAACATTCAATCTTAGTAAAGTCACTTCACAAGAATAAATTGCTGGAGAGAGAAATCTTCATCATCTCCATTCCATAAAATTTTGTCCTTTTATTTATTTATTTTCCAAAATTGTAATAAAGGTATATATAACAAACATTTCCTTTTTGTTTTTACATGAAATTTTGTTTTGAATCTCTCTTCTTTTTTCTGTATTCAGTACACAGCATTTTTGTAAGAACCCACTTTACGACAGCAAACTGAGTCATAGTTGGAAGATTCTTGGCACTGCTAGTGTTTTAAGCCTTTGGGCTTTGATTTTAGAATTTTTTTTTTCCCCCAATAATTCCTGTTTTAAAGTGGAGGTGGGGTGGGAGGATGGCAGATCTTAGTCTCTAGTGATTCTAAGGTAAGAGTAGGAAAAATTAACTGTTGGAAAGAAATGCCAAAGATATCTTTTGGTAGGGATTCAACAAGTTTGTGAAGTATTAAACAAAACTGATGATGTTCAAGAGTAACTGTTAGCCCGTAGTTTTCAAAATGTCTTTCATAGAATCTTGAGAGATTTTGAAATATCTCTGAAGTTCTTTAAAAATTATGTTACATATTTTTTCTGGACATCCTTAAACTCAGCATAAAAAAACTTGAGTTTACTTTTAGTATGGAGCTCATAGAAGATGTTTGTTAAATTTATTACGCTATGGATTTTTAAAAATCTGTTATTCTGAAAATGCTACCTAAACTAGAAAGCCAGGCTGCCCATGAGAATTATTGGAATGATAGGGGACTCCCATCAGCCTCAGGCCCAAAAACATTAACCATCACACACCTAACAGAGGAGTTTGGAATTTAAATCTTCGGTTCTGATTGTCTTAGATAGACTCTGAGGTAAATAATGCTGTATCTCTCCTCTGCCCACCATATAACTAGCAACCCTAAAACCGGTCCTCTTCTTCCAGCCCGTTCACGTGACTGCTTCCAGTGGCTACGGAAGCCTTGGAAGCAGTGGCTCCCAGGAACATTATATCAGCATTGCATCTTCTAGTGAGTCCAGTGGACACTGTGGGGAGGAGATACAAAAGAAGCCAGTAAGTTAGCGACCTTTGTCTTTTTGTACAGATATCATTTCTTTAGTCTTGTTATCTGGTCTGTGGCAGTGCTAGGTCTGCCCTTTGACAGATGGTGACTTCACAGTATAGAAGATTTTATCGGATGTTGTTATGTGCCGTCAAGTCAATTCTGATTCATAGTAACCACCAGGTCTTTTCTTCCATGGAGCTGCTCACTAGTGGGTTCAAACCATCGGCCTTTTGGTTAACGGCCAAGCATTTAACCATTGTGCCACTAGGGCTCTTTTATCTGATAATAGAAAGTTGAATTCATTGCAGTTTGAGGAAACATCTATAAAAAGAAAATAGCATCTTTGGAATGTGACATTTGGGTTAACTGCATATTTTCTAAAAAAGAATTAGCATAAACAGACTTATTTAAAGTTTTGTGTGTACCATTGTACTGTGGCACAGTGGGAAAACAGATTGAAGTTACTACTGGGCTTTTAGTTATGATGTCTTCAGAGAACTAGAAGCTAAATGTCATATGTTGTTGTTGTTATGTGCCATTGAGTCGGACCTGACTCATAGTGACCCCTCCTTGGGTTTCCGAGATGGTATCACTACAGAAGTAGATTGATTGTCCAGCCTTCCTTCCAAGGAGTGGCTGGTGGGTGTGAACTACTAGCCTTCTGGTTAGCAGTCAAGTGCATTAGGCACTATGCTACCAGAACTCCTAATGTCATATGTGCATATATACTTAACATATATGTATTTATTTAAAATGTACATTTTTATAATTTTTGAAGTGTATTTTATCATTCTGTTTTCTAAGATGACCTTGCAACAAGTCTATGCCAGTGTAAACAAGATTAAGAATCTGGGTCAGCAGCTCTATATTGAGTCAATGACGAAATCACCAAACAAGCCAGAGATAAAGATGTGCACAGAACCGCTGGGTGGTAAGTCAGGAGGGCAACCCTGGGGTTATTCTCCTAGGCTGTGTCCTCACCTGCACACACATGAAGTGTGCTGCGAGCACAAGCATGAACTGTGGGGCTTCCTTTCATATTTCTTTATTTGCATTGGGCAAATCGGCAAAAGGCCTGTTTAAAATGTTCAAAACAAAGAAGTCCCTTTGAAGACTAAGGTGTGCCTGACCCAAGCCATGTATTTTCAGTTGCCATATATGCATGTGAAAGCTGGACAATGAATAAGAAAAACTAAAGAAGAATTGGTCCCTTTGAATTTTGATGTTGGTGAAGAATATTGAACATACCACAAACGTCCAAAAGAATGAACAAATCTATCTTGGAAGAAATACAGCTACAATGCTCCTTAGAAGCAAGAATGGCGAGACTTTGTCTCACTTTGGACATATTATCAGGAGGGACTAGTTTCTGGAGAAGGACATGCTTGGTAAAATAGAAGATCAGTGAGAAAGAGGAAGACCCTCAATGAGGTGGATTGACACAGTGGCTGCAACAGTGGTCTCAAACATGGCAGCAGTTGTGAGGATGGCACAGGGACCAGGCAGTGTTTCATTCTGTTGTACCTGGGGACAGAGTCAGAACTGACTCAGTGACATCTAACAACAATGTTGTTGTTACGGGCCATCAAGTCGGACCTGACTCATAGCAACCCCTCCTTGGGTTTCCGAGGCAGTATCACTATGGAAGTAGATTGCTGAACCTTCCTTCCAAGGAGTGGCTGGTGAGTTGGAACTGTCAGCCTTCTGGTTAGCAGTCAAGTGCCTTAGGCACTACGCTGCCAGAGCTCCCCTAACAACAATAGCAGTAATAATAATAGTAGTAAAAATAATAACAGTAAATACTATTCTGAAAGCAAAATAGCATTAGAAAGTAGTTCTAATACACTCCTACTAAATGATTAACTTTTCTGGTAATACCAGCAAGTTCATGAATGCTTTTCCCCCTATATAAGCAATTTATGGAGCCTTGGTAGTGCAAAGAATGGTTAAGCACTCAGTTGCTAACCTAAAGGTTGGTGGTTCGAACCCACCCAGTGATTCCTCAGGAGAAAGACCTGGCACTCTGCCCCTATAAAGATTATTGTTTCAAGGGGCCAACTCGATGCAACAGTCAGTCTCTCCTCGCCTGGCGCAAAGAAGGATGAAGAAAACCAAAAATGCATGGAAATAATTAGTCCAAGAGACTAGTGGACCATGTGAACCTCAGTGTATATGACCGTGAAACTGGAAGAACTGGGTGGTGCCCACTTACCACTGTCAGCCACTCAGAAAGGGATCAGTGCAGGAGATCCTGGATAGAGTGGGATAACAATGTGGAGCAAAACTCAAAATCATAAAAAAGACCAGGCTCACTGGTGTGATGGAGCCTGGTGAAACCTCCAAGAGTTTGGCCCCTAGTTACCCTTCAGGCCTGGAATTGAACTCACTCCCATGGCTTCCAGTCAAACAACAGACAGGCATATAAATAAAAAAACAAACTCATTGCCATCGAGTCAATTCTGACTCATAGCAACCCCCTTTGGGTCTTGCCCGGTCTTCCTTCCATGGAGTGGCTGGTGAGTTTGAACCACCAACCTTATGCTTAGCAGTCAAATGCCTTAGGCACTACACCACCAGAGCTCCTTACAGGAGCCTTACAGACAGACATATAGGGTAAACATTTACACCAGGTAGATATAGTCCTTAGAATGATCAATCGTGGGAGAACAGAAGGACAGTATTTGCACAGGGAGATAGGTCAAGGGGCAGGAATGCATAGGAAAGAAGGACATGGGGAAGAGGTAACCACTGGGAGGAAGTAGGAAGAGAACTGTTATATTGTGGGGCTTGTAGTCAATGTCAGGAAACAAAATGTGTATGAACTGCTGTATGGAAAATGAATTCACTCTGTAAACTTTAACCCAGATCATGACAGAAGTTTTTTTTTTTTTAAAAAAAGGTTGTTGTTAGGTGCTGTCAAGTTGGTTCTGACTCAAGTGAATCTGTACGTACAATGGAATGAAACACTGCCCAGTCCTTCAGTATCCCTATATTCATTGCTGTGCTTGAGCCCATTGTTGCAACCACTGTGTAGATTATAGCCTAGGAAACTCTATGGGATAGTTCTACTCTGTCGTATAGGGTCACTGTGAGTGAAAAATCAACTCAGCAGTACCTAACAACAACAACAGTAACATGATCTATTTATAAACCAAGAGACTTAGTTTTTAGAATACATTTCAGATAATAAAGCATTAAAATAAGAATCCCTTTCTATCATTTCAAAGGAAACTCTGACTTAAGTTGGAAGAAAAACTGGGCTTTTTCTTGATACATGTTTACTTTTCTAAAATATGAGGTCAGGTGCACTCTAAAACAGTTGAATCAGTCCTGATAATTTGGTATTACTTTGAAAAGTTCAACTAGTTGTTTTACATAGCAGAAGAAAGTTTCATAATACAGAGATCAAATGTTAAGGACTTTTTCATTTAGCTCGCTTTCCCTTCATTTTCTCCCTGCATGTTATAATGTTGGGAGTTGTAATGGATTTTGGTCACTTGAAATGGGAACTATTTGAGTAACAAAAAAATAATGATAGTACTAGATTATAACCCAATAGATAAAATAGTATCTATGTGTCCGTAATGACAAAGAAGTGATTGAATAAATAAATAGAAAGGAAATGATTCTTACAGAGGAAATTAAATTAGAAACAAGAAAGAAAAAAAAAATTGCTATCAGAATTCCACCATAACTGTTGCAAGAAACATCATCCAATAAATAGTAAAACTAGTGAGTGAAAATTTAAGAGAAACAGGATGTTGTCATTGTTTCAAAGTATTTCTCCAAAATATTGTTGTTTACTTTGTTACACTGTAAAATGGTACCTTTACAATAGAGAAACCTGGCAGATGGCACCTTACCCGAATGATCAAGTAATAAATCATAACCAGTAATAAAACATACCAGCATCACATGCTTGTGGCATGATGCATTAAGGAGGGTTCAGCGCCCTGCTAGTATTCTCTGCAAAATGGATAACCTCAACCTTAGAAATTTTCATAGGAAAACATCAGAGAAACTTCAATTAAAGGGCATTCTACATAATTCCAGACCAGTACTTTAAAAACAACACAACAACCAAAAAAAAACATAATATTTTATTGAGTTTTTGGTGAATGGTTTACACAGCAAGTAAGGTTCCCATTTGATAATTTCCACACAAATTGTTCATTGACATGAGTTATATTTACACCACGTATCGGTGTTCTCTTTCGTTGTGTTTAGTCTGTTCACTTTCCAGTACTCTAGTTTCTCTGCTGTGCATAGGGTTGCTATGAGTCAGAGACAACTCGAGGGCACCTCACAACCACAGCAGTTTCTCTGCCACCTTTTCTCATCTTTACTTTGAGTAATTATTGGCGTTTTGGTGGTGTCATAATGATGTTTTTTTTTTTTTTTAAGTAGGGTACTGCTCTTATGGGTTGTTGTTGTTGTTATGTGCCAAAGAGTCTGACCCGACTCATAGTGACTCCTCCTTGGGTTTCTGAGGTAGTATCACTACAGAAGTAGATTGCCTAACCTTCCTTCCAAGGAGTGGCTGGTGGGTTTGAACCGCTAGCCTTCTGGTTAGCAGTAAAGTGCCTTAGGCACTATGCTATCAGAGCTCCTGCTCTTGTGGGTAATAGCCATCATTTTATGTGCCACTCTGCTGTTTTGCTAACAGGTGATCTTGGGATAGGCTCAGTTCTAACTTTAAAGAATGATTCAGGGCAAGAGTTCCAGGGAATCTTTTGTTCACTGCTCCAGCTTTTCATCTTTTTTTTTTTTTCCAAAATAAGAATTTGAGTTTTGTTCCATATTTTTCTCCCATTCTGTCTGAGACCAAGTGTTGTGCCCCTCATCAGAATGCTGGCCAGTACTCTTAAAAAGTGTCAAGATCATAAAAGATAAGCACAGACTGAGGAACTATCACAGATTGGAGGAGACTAAAGAGACATGACAACGATGCAATATGGGATCTTGGGTTGGACCCTAAAACAGAAAAAGGACATAAGTAGAAAAATCTGTGAAACCCAAATGAAGTCTGAAGCTCAGTTAGTAGTACTTTACCACAGCTAATTTCATGGTTTTGTTCATTGTCCTTGGTTATATAAGATGTTAACATTACAGGAAGCTGAGTGAGAGGCTATGGGAACCTCTATTATTTTTGTACATTTTCTGTAAGTATAATATGATTTCAAAATTCAAAGTTAAAAAAAATAATTCTTATGAATCAAAGTTAATGCACACAATACAGAATGTTCTTCCAATCCAGCTCAAAGGGACTTTTACTACTAATAATAAGACCAGCAGCTAACACTTCTGCTCAACCTCTCAATCCATTCTTGGCTTCCATGACCTCACACTGTCTAGTAATTTCTCTCTTTTTCTGGCTAGTCTTTCTCAGTCTCCTTTATTGGCTCATTCTTCTCTATTGGAAGTTTAAGTTCTTCAGTGCTTAACTCTGAAGGCCTTTTTTTCTTTTCTCAAGTTAAGCACTTGATGATTAACCAAAGAGTTGGTAGTTCAAACCCAGATAGAGGCACCTCTGAAGAAAGGGCTGATTGTCTGCTTCTGAAGGTCACAGCCTTGAAAATGCTATAGAGCACAGTTCTACTCTGACATGCGTTGAGTCACCATGAATCAGATTTGACTCCATGCCAGCTCATCTTTATGTTTTGATATATTTGTGTTATCAAATATGGTAGGCACTATCTGGAAAGAGCAAGAGCTTTGGTGGCATAGTGCCTAAGGTATTTGCCATTGAAAACCCTTTTAAACACAGTTCTTCTCTGACACACGTAAGGTCTCCATCAGTTGGAATTGACTGGACAGCAATTACTTGGTTTTCTTTTTAACGGCATTTGGCAATTTAAATTTGCATTAGTTAAAATTAAGTAAAATTAAAAACTGAGTTCCTTAGTTGCTCTAGCCACATTTCAAGTGCTTCATAGCTACATAAGGAGCTCTGATGGCACAGTGGTTAAGGCATTCAGCTGATAACCAAAAGGTCAGCAGTTCAGACCACCAGCTGCTCTATGGGAAAAAGATGAGGCAGTCTGCTTCTGTAAAGATTTACAGCCTTGGAAACTCTATGGGGCAGTTCTGCTCTGTCTTGTAAGGTCACTATGAGTTGGAATTGACTCTATGGTGGTGGGTTAACAGCTACATGTGTCTGATGGCTACTGTATTGGACAGCACAGATATAAAAACTCAAAAAACTTAACTCACTGCCATTGAGTCAGTTCCGACTCATAGCGACCCCCTTTGGGTTTCTGAGGCAGTAAATCTTTATAGAAGTAGGTTGCCCCATCTTCTTTCCTCAGAGTGGCTGGTGGGTTTGAACCACCGTGCAACTGTATTGGGCAGCACAGATGTAAGACAGATATATTTGTGTTGCTGTAGAAAGTTCTGGACACAGGTTCAGCACAGGTAATGTGATGTACTTTACATTGCAGCACATAAGCTCAGTCCTACAAGTGATGATTAGACTGATCACCATGTATATGTAATGTCAGCCTGATCCCTCCATTGTAAACTTCTCAGTCATTTCATCTAATCATTGTATTTGTTGATAATCTTGGCCTAAAACATTTTACTCCTAATTTTTAAAAATAGAAATATAATCTTTTATGTTATCATTCTATGTGTAGTGTGCTCTGCATCTTATTTTTTCATATTCCTATGCATTTTCTATGTCACTTTTAATTACTGCGTAACATTCAACTGAATGCATGCATCATAAAGTACCATGATTTAATTTTGCTGAGTTAGTACACGTTCTTAACCACATGCTAAATATTTTACTCTGACATAATTTTGTTCTCTTTCAGATGAGCAGAAAGTCTTCTCTTCCTTCCAGACATTGAAAAATCATAGCATGCACATGGAGTCTTGTGAGGATTTGCGAAAAGAGCAGGACAGCCCGTCCTACCAACAGATCAACTGTATTGATAGTGTTATCAGGTATGAGATGCAAATTTTGATAAAATGTTAGTTTTTCCAAAAGCACACATTGCTACGGAAGGAAATTTTCTTTGTTGATTACCAGGGATGTGAGGAAGGGGAGGGAACACTGCAAAAATAATAAAATAAATAAACAAAAACATACATCGTTGCTGTGAAACATTTGTATAATATTTAATAACTGTCCTGTCCTGAATTTTTCACTATAAATAAGTAGGTAATTACAGAGTTCCAACTAAATACGGTACAGTATATTGAACATTACGGGGTATGTGAAAAATTAGAATGTGCGTTTCTTTTTCAAAGGAACTTAAGAGTATTGTAGGCAAGTTAAGATTTAAACCTGTCAACATTAAATGATACAAGATCTGAACGTTAGTTCAAGACCATAGGTGAAGCACTGTCACAGTTCAGTGACTCAGGCTAGAGTGGGCGGGGAAAACTTCATCAAAGAAGAAGGTACAAAGCATCCCAAACAGAGGTGGCAAGGAGGTGGGATGGTACGGTCAGGAGACAGGTGAGCATATGTGGCCTGATCACACTGTTGCAGATATTTGAAGAGCTACAACATTCCCGCTTTGAAAAGAAAGTGCATATCCTGTACAAATACAAATTCTTCATCATCAGAAGATGACAAACAAATCCACAAGGCAGATGGTGTCCACACATTGCAAGGTAACAGAAACGCCCCTAGAAGTTAGAGAAAAAGAATGATTACAGAGCCATCCTTTCTTTCTATTTCCCTTTAACCTCTTATCTTTAATTCATTGTAATCACAAATAAAGGAGACCTGGTGGGGTAGTAGTTAAGTGCTTGGCTGCTAACTGGAAAGTCTGAAAGCTGCTATTTGAACCCATCAGCTTGCTCCACAGGAGAAAGATTTGGCATCTGCTTCCATAAAGATTTATAGCCTTGGAAACTATCTGGGTAGTTCTACTTGGTTGCTGTAAGTTGGGAACAACACAGCAGCACTGGGTTTAGTGGGTGGTGCAATTCTTGGCCGCTGACCGAAAGGTTCGTGATTGGAACCTGCCCAATGGCATTGTGGGAGAAAGACCTGGCAATCTGCTTCTATAAAGAATGCAGCCTGCTCTGTCACATTGGGTCACTATGACTCAAAATTGACTCTACAGCACCTAACAAGAATAATCACAAATTATCTTAGTTTCATATTACTTCTTTACGGCAAGTAGGTTTTAATTTGTCCTAACTTCTGGGTAATTTTTCTTTAACTGTCAGCTTCTCTTTTATCAACAGCTGTTCCTCAGATCCCAGTCAAAGCTAAATCAGAAATGATGACAGCTGAACAGTCCACAGATGCTGAGGAAGGTGTTCCACAGACCCTCTCCACCAAGGCCCTGGTGTCAGGCATAAGCCAGTGCAGTTACAGCAGCACCATCGTTCACGTCCCACCCCCAGAACCTGGTACAACAAGCACTTTCCATTTTGAAAGTATATTTAACTCTAAGTATAATATTGTTAGAGAACAAATGTCAGTAATACCATTTACTTAATGATACCTGCTAAATTTTAAATATTTTTCCTTTCTTTAATTGATTTTTGGAAATATGTTTACCTTGGTTACATATTTTATTGGAACGTATTTCTTTTATTTGTCAATCAAATCAGTTGATACATGTAATTCACTTAGAATAATATTTAGTGCACAGTAACAATTAGGATTAGACATTAGGTAATGTGATGTTTTATTGTGTTGAAAATATACTTAAAAAGCCACGTAACATCTCAACAATTCCAACATTTACAATTCAGTAAAGGAGTCCTGATGGAGCAGTGGTTAAACACTCAACTGCTAACCAGAAGATTGGCGGTTGGAACCCCACCCATCAACACTATAGAAGAAAGACCTAGCAATCTACTTCCATAAAAATTACATTCTAGAAAACCCTGTGAGGCACTTCTGCTCTGTTACAGGGGGTCGCCAAGAGTCAAAATTAACCTGATAACACAGTTCAGTGACATTGATTACGTTCTTCCAGTTGTGCAGCCGTTATCGCTAGCTTTTCCAGATCATTCCACCACTATTAACAAAATCTCATTGTCCCTTAAGCAAAAGCTTCTCCTTTGCTCCTTGCTCCCATCCACTAGTAATCTTTTGTTTCTATATATTTAAACTAATATATAAATGAGATCCTATAGTATTGTCCTTTTGTGACTGACTGATTTCACTCAGCATGATATTTTCAAGGTTCATCCATGTTGTAGCATGCATTGGGACTTAATTTCTCTTTGTAGCTGTATAATATTCCATTGTGTGAATATTTCATTGTGTTATGTACCACATTCATCTATTGATGGACATTTCAGTTTTTCCACCTTTTGGTTATTGTGAATGGTGCTGCAGTGAACATTGGTGTACAGGTTTCTGTTGTGTTCTTGCCTTCACTTTTTCTGAGTATATAACTAGGATTGAGATTGCTGGGTCATATGGTTGTTATCTCCAACTTTGTATGTGTGCGTGTGCGTGCTTTGGGTGAAAATTTGCAAGCAAATTCATTTTCCATACAGCAGTTGATACACATTTTGTTTCATGACATTGATTGCAATCCTCGTAATGTGACAGCTCTCTATTCACTTCCTCCTTGTGGTTACCTTTTCCTTGTGTCCTCCTTTCCTATGCATTCCTGCCCTCTGAGCTTTCTCCCTGTGCAAATACTACCTTGCTGATCTCCCGTGGTTGATTATTCTAATGAGCGTGGCTGTGCCTGTCTGTTGTTTGGCTGGAAGCTAAGGGAGTGAGTTCAGTTGCAGGCCTGAAGGGTGACTAGGGCTTATAGTATGGGCGTTTCACCAGTCTCTGTCAGTTCAGTAAGCTTGGTCTTTTTTTTTATTTTGAGTTTTGTTCCACATTGCTTTCCTGCTCTATCCAGGGTGTCCTATATTGATCCCTTTCTGAGTGGTTGACAGTGGTAGCTGGGCACCATCTAATTCTTCTGGTCTCACAGTCATGTAGACTAAGGTTCACATGAGCCACTAGTCTCTTGGACTAATTGTTTCCATGAATCTTTGGTTTTCTTTTTCTTCTTTGCTCTGGCTGAGGAGAGACCAATTGTTGCGTCTATATAGACACTTGCAAGCTTTTAAGACTCCAGTTGCTACTCACCAAAATAGGTTGTGGAACCATGTTTTTGTGTAATATGTTTTGCTAGTTGAGCTTGATGTCCCCCACAACCATGATCCTGAGCCCAAGGGCCCAACAACTTGCTCCCTAAGGGTGGTTGGCTGTGGCTAAGACGTTATCATAATTTTGCCCCCTGTTAAAAAATTTCTCATTGCCGTTGGGTCAATTCCAACTCATAGTGACCCCCATTGGGGTTTTGAGGTGGTAAATCTTTATGGAAGTAGATTGCCCCATCTTCCTTCTGTGGGGTGGCTAGTGGCTTTGAACTGCCAACCTTCTGGTTAACAGTCAAATGCCTTAGGCACTGCACCACCAGAGCTCCTTGTTAGCTCTTATTTATGTGGACATTCTCATGTTGTTGTTGTTATTTGCCGTCGAGTCGGCCCCGACTCATAGCAACCCCTCCTTGGGTTTCCGAGGCAGTATCACTACAGAAGTAGGATTGCCCAACCTTCCTTCCGAGGAGTGGCTGGTGGGTTTGAACCGCCAGCCTTCTGGTTAGCAGTCAAGTGCCTTAGGCACTATGCTACCAGAGCTCCTGGACATTCTCATAGCACATACAAATGTTGTTGTTGGGTGCTGTCAAGTCGTCTCCGACTCATAGCGACCCACGCACAGCAGGATGAAACACTGCTCAGTCCTGTGCCAGCCTCACGATCCTTGTTATACCTTGCAGCCACTGTGTCAATTCATCTCACTGAGGGTCTTCCTCTTTTTCATTGACCCTCCATTTTACTGAGCATGATATCCTTCTGCAGGGAATGGTCCCTTCTGACAACATGACCAAAGTAGGTGAGAAGAAGACTGGCCAGTCTCGCTTCCAAGGAGCATTCTGGCTGCACTTCTTCCAGACAGATTTGTTAGTCCTTTTAGCAGTCCATGGTACTCTTAGCATTCTTCTCCAGCACCACAACTCAAAAGCATCAACTCTTCTTCAGTCTTCCTTAATTCATTGTCCAGCTCATGTGCATAAGAGGTGATTGAAAATACCATGGCTTGGGTTAGGTGCACCTTAGTCTTCAAGGAGACATCTTTGCTCTTCATCACTTGGAAGAGGTCTTTGCAGCAGATTTACCCAATGCAATATGTTGTCTGATGTCTTGACTGCTGCTTCCATTGGTGTTGATTGTAGAACAAAGTAATAGGAGTCCTTGACAACTTCAGTCTTTTCTCAATCCATCATGAAGCTGTTTGTTGGACTTGTTGTGAGGATTTTTGTTTTCTTAATATTGAGGTGTAATCCGTACTGCAGATGTAGTCTTTAATTTACATCAGTAAATGCTTCAAGTCATGCTCACTTTCATTGAGTGAAGTTGTGTCATCTGTGTATTGCAGGTTAATGAGTTTACTCCAATCCTGATGCTACGTTCTTCTTCATATAATACAAATACATATGTAGAAATATCATCTGCCAAACTTATGTATGGTCATGGATATTTTCCCTTTTGCCTACACATACCCGATCATTCAGCCTGTCTACCTATGTATCTACTTGTAGGTTAATGTTTGTTATTACTGATAATACAGTGTTGTGTATGGAAGAGTGTTGATTGTTGTTGTCCATACCTCTTATGCACCTCTCTGTGTCTTCTTTTTCCTTAGTGTCATTGAATATATTGCCTTTCTCTTCCCCCAAATCAATACTTGTCTCTTACCTATCTAGCAATTTTCCCTCCTTTCCCCTCCCATCCCTTGTAACCAACAAAGAAAATTTCCTTCCATATGTGAACCTTTCCCTAACTTTTTACAATAGTGGACTAATACAATATTTGTCCTTCTGTGATTGACGTTTTTCACTCAGCATAATGTCCTCCAAGTTCATCCATGTTATGCATTGTTTCACAGATTCTACGTTATTCTTTAGTATTGCATAGTATTCCATTGTGTGTATGTACCATAGTTTGGTTATCATTCCTCCATTGATGGGTTGTTTGCCTCTCTTTGCTGTTGTACAGAGAGGTGCATTGAACATGGATGTGCCTATATCTGTTCGTGTCCTGGCTCTCACTTCTTTAGGATATATACCTAGTTAATGAGATTATTCTGGTGTGTGGTGGGTGAGGCACTTGACTGTTAACCAGACTGTCAGTGGTTTAAAACCACCAGCTTCTCTGCAGAAGGAAGACAGGGCAATCTACTTCCATAAAGATTTACAGCCTTGGAAACCCAGTGGGGATTGCTGTGAGTTGGAAAGAACTTGATGGCAGTGAATTTTTATTTTATTTTTTTTCCAAATGGGATTGCTGGATCAAATGTTATTTCTTTTTCCAACATTTTAAGGAATTGCCATACTGATTTTCACAGTGATTGTAAGATTTTATAGTCCCACCAGCAGAGTATGAAAGTCCCAATCTCTCTACATCCTCACTGACATTGTTATTTTCTGTCTTGTTGAGCTTTGCTGTTATTTCTGGAGTGAGATGGTATCTCGTTTTGATATGCATCTGTGTCAAACCCACCAGCTGCTCTGCGGAAGGAAGACAAGGCAGTCTACTTCTGTAAAGATTTACTGCCTCAGAAATCCAATGGGGGGTCACAGTGAATCGCAATCAACTTGATGGTAGTGAGTTTGGTTTTTAAATGCTAATGATCATGAGCATTTCTTCATGCATTTGTTGACTCCTTGAGTTTCTTCTTTGGTGAACTGTCTGTTCATATCTTCTGCCCGTTTTTTATTGGATTGTTTGTCTTTTTGATGTTAAGATGTTAGAATTTTCTATAAATTTTGGAGATAAGTAAATCCCTTATCAAATATGTTGTGTTAGAATATTTGTTTCCCCAATCTGTAGGTTTTCTTTTCACTCTTTTGGAGAATTCTTTTGATGCACATAAAAATTTAATTTTTAGAAGGACCCAATCTTCTAGTTTATCTTCTGCTGTTTGTACATTTTGGGTTTTACTTGATAGTCTACTTATGCCATAATTTAAGGCACCTAAGTTTGCCTCTATTTTTTGTTAGATGGACTTTATATAGTTTTAGGTTTCACAGTTAAGTCTTTGATCCATCTGGAATTAGTGTTTGTGTATGGTGTGAGGTATGGATTTTGTTTCACTTTTCTGCAAAATGAATATCCAGTTTTGCCAGCACCATTTGTTAAAGAGACTGTCTTTTGGCCATTGGTCAAAGACTAGCTGACTGTAGATGAATGGATCTATTTCTGGGTTCTCAGTTCTGTCCACTGGTCTATGTGGCTGTTGTCATACCAGTACCAGGCTATTTAACACTGTGGCTATGTAGCAGGTTTTGATATCTGGGAGTGTGAACCTCCTACTTTGTTCTTCA